TATATATATATATATATATATATATATATATATATATATTATTTATATTATATTATATATATCAGAACATATTTTAATTTAAAATTTGTATTTATTTTAAGTAAATTTATTTTTCAAAAAAAATACTGTTATCTAAAAATATTTCGGAGATTCGGGTCCCCACAGGGAAACCATCTCCATCGGGGATTGGGGATGGAGGGCATTTTATCCCTGGTGGGGATTGGGAACGGGGATAGGGTTAATTTCAGAATCGGAGTTGGGGAGGGAAAATATGATCCCCGCCCCAAACCTGCCCCGTTGCCATTCCTATTGGTTCAATGCCCAACCTTACCTGAACCTCCTGACAGTCAGTATGTACTATTTGCACAGTGCCAAGGACAGTACATCTCCATGTTAGTGACCATACTAATGTCCCAAGATTTTCCCTCTACATGCTATCACATTTATGATTTTTCTGTCTTGTGTGATTTAGGTAAACTGAGAGCATTGGATGATAAGTGGATTCAAGTTGTATTTGAACCTCCTCAACTGAAGGTAGGGGCATTGGAATTCCAGTATGGTGGTCAGAGTGAGGTCAAGCTAGAAATAACCTACATAGATGAGAATGTAAGGTTGGGAGTTGGTTCCCGGGGCTCTCTATTTGTCTTCCAAAGATGCATATAAGTTGTAAGTCTTCCAATCAACATGTTATATATATATATATATATATATATATATATATATATATATATATATATATCATGAGCTTCTTCCAGTTGTTGATGTTCTGATGTCTTGGTCATGTAGACCTACTAGTAAATCTGTATGTGCATTGAATAGGGCAATTTTGGATGATGATGGATTATATGTGTCCAAAATTTTTTACATTCTCTTTCTATTCTATCTGTTTTTATTTTTATTATTTAATTATGACATCCTAAGTTGATCCATTTGACCTAGATGTTTGAACCATTGACTTGTCATATGTTGACCCGTTTAACTCAGATGGGAAAATGATTTCATTTTTTGTTGATTTAAGTTTTGTATTCCATTTCTATCAACAACAGTAATAATGATCAAGGTTTAAAGTATCGGAAATGCTATGCGTATCAAAAAGGCAAATTTAAGAGACGTATCAGGATACGTCAACCATTTGACTAATGGTTGAATCTCTAACCTGCTACCTAGCCTTTTTTTTTTTAATTTGTAGAAGAAACAAAAATGCTAGGTTTAATGAAAGATTCATATTACATTGACGCCACCGAGTTGCTTGATACTTCACTAATATCCTCCGAAATCGGAGGGCAGACTTTTCCCTATAACAGTGATAATAAGACATTCAGACGTTTTATAGGCTATTCTCGTTTTTTCACATGCATTAGATGAATCATCGCAAGTAAACAAAACCCAGCTTTAATTATGGCGTTCTGCAAATTTCCTCTGGCAACTGCATCACTAATTCACTATTACACAAATAAATAAGGTTAATCATATAATTGCGCCATCGAATGAGATTAAAGGTCCATTTTACATTACATAAGGTTATGTTTGGTTTGAAGGAAAAAGTAGGGAAAGGAAAGGCAGGGAAACCTTTACAAATTTTGTATAGGTTTTCATACCTTTCCCTTCCTTTTCCTTCAAAGCAAACATAGCTCAAAGGATCTTAGTCCTTAACAGTAGAAGGGAACCAAAAAAAAACACAAAAAACAAAAAAGCTGTATAAACTTAGACCAGCTTGTTGCCCACAAGATTACAATAATAAATGTGGATGAAACAGCCTTACATATTCAAACACATAGTGGCAACTGGGAGGCTAATTTGCCAGTAATAGCCAACCAACAGAACAGGAAAGCATGATATACCCAAACCAAATATATAATAGATGAAAAATATAACATGGTACACAGTTCCAGTTTACCATGAAACTGCAACAACTGTGAGAATTTTCTTAGTACCAAGACACCGTCAGCACCCATGGGTTTCACGTGAAAGGCCTTCAACTATCACTCCTCTTCAAACAGAATGGTATTGGTGACTCGAGGAAAAAAAATTACCTCATTTCACACCATGCCTCTAAAGGAAGTATGATAACTGCTGCTTTTTCCTTGAACCTCCTTCCCCATATAACTCGTTCCACTGCTTCAGCTCGCCCATACTGGCTCCTTCAGCCGCATAACTGGCTGCTACCTGCAATTAAGGAATTACTTGCATTCAGAAAAGATCTTGGTGAAGTTTCAAGAGAAGGCAGCTTCTTTGTTTCATTGCCCGGTTAACTGATGGACTCACAAACCATCAGTCACAAAGTGAATACAGAAAATTACTCCGAGTTGAAATTGGCATATTTGGTCACCTTAAATCCAACTCCTGAGGCTATAATTTATAATTATTGGCATATTTGGCTTTGGCTACACACGTGTGGTGTCAGATCATGTTGGAAAGGTGTTGAACGTATTTTATAGGCAGGAGATCTGGACTTAGATCGAGATGCGGTGAGTTAAGGTTGCTGAAAAGAAAAATAAACGCCTTTTAAGTGAATAGTTAATGCCATGTTGGTTGGTTAAAGGTTAACCCTAAACATGTTGGAGGGAAGCCATACTCTCAACTGGTACATTTAAAATACGTTTCCACGTGAAAACCCCCATAATAATGTATCTGAAGTTCAGCCCAGAAGGATTTTGGTAGCTAAAGGATATTAGGCAGATGTGAGGGAATATATTATTTTGGCACCTATGCTGCAATAACTAGTATCACTAATATTAGTCTTAATGACTATAACCTCAATTAATTAATTATTCACCAAATGGATATTAAGGCAACATTCTTGACTGGTGAGGACAAGAAAGGAATGTGTGTAAATTAATAAAATTGCCATATGGATTAAAACAAATAACCCATATAATGGCATAAAAAACTTGATGATGTGATGATAAGAAATGTTTTTAAAACAAATGATTTATAGATAAATGCCTGTAAAGCCAACTCTCTAGTAAGATCGGGATCATAATGTCTAATGAGATAGTATGCTGGTTATAGGTACTAATGCATATCGCAAAACTTTGATATAAAAAACCTAGGACAAGCAAATATCATAGAAATTAAAACAAGAATATGGCTAAGGCTTATTCTTGCACGTGTCTATGCATGCACATGTTCCTTTGATGGGTGTTTATGATTGCTGGTCACTTTTCTTTTCTGGGGTATAAGAATCGGTAAAGCACGGATAGATCCATTGCAGATTTCTGAATTCCACTGCAGACCTATAAGCATTCAAAATGTTAAATACCCCCACTCTATACACCAATGCCGCTGGTGAATTAGCATCAATTCCAAGCTGGCACCTACCCCAATTGTACTTTGGACCTAAAAATTGTGACCCTGGGCTGAACCGTCATTCTCCCTTTAGAGCTCTCCCTTGAGCACACACACTGGAAATCACAAAGCATGATATTATCATTATTGATGAACCCCTGACTTATCTAGAAGGGCACTAAACCAGTCTTGCCAATCACATAATGGTTGCATGCGATTTCCATCATTCGATAACCAGATTCATGAAAGTTCGAAGCAGCATTCACAATGAAGGATGACTTCACATAGATTTACCTGATTCTTTGCCAGTTTCATGTCTTGCATATTCAGCGGCCTGAGAGTAATTACTTTATCCTCGTTATCTTCTTTTGCATTTGATGCCTCTTCCAAGTTCAGCCCTTCGTCCTCTCTACGTTTTCTTTCCTGCAAAGTTTAGTACAAAGAAGGTAACTTATCATACAAGACTACAATTATAAATAACAATTACATGGGGTCTTAAAAAGTGGGTACCTACCAGATCCTTAAGTCTCTCTCGCTGGATCAGCTCTCTAACTGGCCGATAAGCTGCCATTGTACACAAGTTCTGTTTTCAATGTTTATTTGTCCGCAGTTAGGTATAGCTTACCATAAATCAACTCACGAATGATATTTAGGAAGATACTGACCTTCAAATCACTTCCACTATATCCCTCTGTCATGGTTGCAAGCTCCTTAAAATCTAGTCCTTCCTCAACCTTCTCTTTGGCCAAAAGCGTTCTCAAAATCTTCTCCCGATTCTCTATAGAAGGTAGGCCCACCATAATTCTGTTCATCATCGTAATAATTACTAATCAGCACACATGTGGCTTCATAGCACTAAATCACTGAATGTCCATAGGAGTAATTACTTTTATAGACTTTCATAGGATAATCTTTAACAAGATATTCATAAAATAGCTTAAATCATAACTATCAAGACACTAGAGGCGAAGGTTCCTATCTAGATATTTCTAAAAGAGTTCATGGTTGAAGCTTCATCTATGAACATCACAAGATCAGCTCATATTAACATTCCCAACCACTTCTGTAATCTCAACATTTTCAGTTCATTAATTGTAGTAGGAAAGCAATAAATAATTGCTCCTTATTATATGAAGTTTTTAGCCTAGACACACTGTACAAGTTGTTGAGATAAACGAATGTTAACTGATGATAGTTAGATAACTGTCATATTTTAGAGTCAAATAATATGCAATATACCTGCGTTCAAATCGCCTAATAATTGCTTCATCAAGATCAAATGGCCTGTTTGTTGCAGCAAGAACAAGGATCCGCTCACCAGGTTTTGTCATTAGTCCATCCCAATGTGTCATGAACTCATTCTTAATCTTACGCATGGCCTCATGCTCCCCAACCCTGGTGCGCTGCCCAAGCATACTATCCACCTCATCCACAAAAATAATAGTTGGGGAGACCTTTGCTGCCAGGGTGAAAAGAGCTCTTACATTCTTCTCATCTTCCCCAAACCATTTTGATGTGATGGTTGACATGGAAACATTGATAAAGCTAGCACCAGCCTCATTGGCTATTGCTTTGGCCAACATTGTCTTCCCAGTACCTGGAGGTCCAAATAACAATATTCCTCTGCAAGGCTTCAAAAGGCCTCCCTTGAATAGGTCTGGTCTTCGAAGAGGAAGCATGACAAGCTCCTGGAGAGATTCCTTAATCTCATCTAGTGCTCCAATATCGGCAAATGTAACTCCAATCTCATTTGCTGGGATAACCTCTGGCCTAATGCGCTTCTCAAATTCATTGTCAGGAGGAATCTCCTATCACGAAAAAACTACATTAGCACAAAGCAGCATTTGATTGAGAGTGATCATGTTCACATATATTTCAAAATTTTTGGAAAAGCTGTCAACCCCCTCTCTCAGATATGTTTTCACAACTTTGTTGAGCAAACCAAAGTTCAAAACCATTTTAAAATACCAAAAAGTCATAGAACACATTCACTAAAATCATGCACAATTTCATAGGGGCATGAACTTTGATTGTTTTCAGGTGCATCTTTGAGGAAAAAGACTTACCGGTACTTTTACAGGAGCAGGTGGATTCTCATCCTCCTTCTTCACCAGAGGAACTGGTTTCTCAGGTTCACTTTTGTTTTCAGGTGCAGGAGTCCCAGATTTTGATTCAGGCTTTACACCAATAATCCCATCCCCTTCAGATTCCTACAACCAATAAAAGAAAAGAATAATTATCTGATCAGGTCATTACACTTAGACCGTTCAAGAAGTAAATGGAGATAAGTGAAACATACCTTAGCAGGTTCAGAATTTGCTCCCAGCTTCAAAGTATCTTTACCACCACGCTTACCTTCCTGGAATATGCTCAATCCATGGGACAAACTGTTCCATGACCAAACGGTCAGAACAACTAAAGCTTAAAGAAAGCTAACTAGAAAACAACCACAGAATCTGTTAACCTAACCTCCTAGATGAAATAATGAGCCTTCCATTTCTAAATTCAGGATTTTTGTTATTCATCAAATGATAGGAAACTGCTGATACAATGATCTCTTCTATGTAATTACTGAGGACAATTGTGTCTGCAAGGCAGATCGAACCCAGATCATCACAGTCAAGATCATTTGCTGCAAGAACTTCAGTAATATGGTTCCTGTTATCCTGATATTGGATCATTTTCATGTCCTCTTCCAATTGGGCTCTCCAGCTAATAAGGTGGTTCTCATCTTCAGGTGGCTTGGTCTCAATATTGTATGGGAACAGAAGGGCGAGCCTCTCATCCACTTCATTATAGTCATTACCTGGATCTGATATCCGTGAACCAAGGATCAGAACTGATCCTGACAATTTTTTCAACATTGTCTGGAACAAAGTGTATATCCTTTGTGATCGAAAAATAAGTTTCTCCACATCCCTGAGGTAGAGAACAATAGGACTGGTTTTCGACACTGAAACCAAAACCTGTAAAGAGAAGTAAAAACAATTCAATTAATGCCACTAAATATCTTTGAGAAAATAACTTTGACCGTATCAACAGTAATTGTTTAGACCAGGTAGGATATCATCACATGAAAGGAATTCCAACTTCATCATAATCCCAATCATTTCAGAGTAACATTACCTTGTAAAGTGACTGTACAAGAAGTTTCTCATCAAATGCCCAACTGCTGGTGCGCTTCAGAGGGGCTAAAGAATACAAGGACCATTAGAAGTGACAACAATAAGAAAATCATTATATCAATCAAGAAACACTATGAAACTCATCTGGTAAGAATTTGCAAACAATTCTAAGGTCTATAATAATACTGTTCAAAGGTGGGCATTGTGGCGTGAAACAAGTTTAATAACATTGTGAAAACATTTATATAGCAAACTTAAAAAGAATTGGATTATAAGCTAATTCCATTGAGGAACAATATGACCACAAGCATGTTAAAGACTTGTACGAGAAACGAAAAGACAGACTACGACCATGTTATGAAATGCTTTTCTGCCTAAACAGGCTTCTGAAAAAAGTCACTTTTTGAAAAGTGATTTGTTAGTGTTTGGCTGATCACCCTTTTATGCAGACAGGTTGCAACTAGGACTCAACAGGCAATATACCAACACCTTGCAGCCAGAAAGAGAACTCATATCTTTGGGATGACCGAGATGGTCAAAACACAAGAGAAATCCCTGAAAGATCCAAACCTCTAATAAAATACTGAAAAAATCCACTGGTATCATAAAATAAGAAAATGTCAACTAATTACTAACTTTTCAGAACCCATAAGAACAAAAAATAGGATCCCCAAGGAAAACAACTATCATATCAACCAATCTAGTTGTGTCATTAGGAACTCAAACAATAATTTCATTGCAATCAATTGAAACTTCCTGAAAAATAAAGCCCAAATGGCATCCTAATTCCTAAATATCACTTCTCGAGGCTCAGTTTGGGAAGAGTACAAATTCAAATATGTACAGTGGAAAACTTGTATACTGTATTTCTAAACCTTGTATTTGCACCTTACATATTTGTATTTGTATTTTTTCCAAACTGAGCCCAATGTGCACTGTACATTTCAAGTCTGAATCCAGAATAGAATTGCAAATTCTTTAGAATGATCAAGAGTGGGTACTGATCCTAAACCCAGAAAACTGTTATAATAAGCCCAAAAGGGGAACCTTCAGTGTTTCTACAAGAACAACCAGAAACTCCTTATCCTCATTGTTAACCTACAAAGACCGTTAATAAAATATTCCAGTGTCACCACATACAAATGTTGGTATATGTAATATAATTACAATTACTATTCTCAGCATGCTAGAATTAATTAATAATAGGTCCTTCTAGCAAATAAAAATTCGGGTGCCAACCTGGATTTACAGGACTGCATTGCAATGCAAAGCTATTGATGTCAGCTGCTGCAGCAGACGCATTTCTACGATGCTTTGGAGCATTATTAGAACCTTCTGTTGCCCTGAAGGAAGAAGACAAGTGAAAAAAGAAGAAGAAATAGACAATCAATCTCTAGTTGCTATTAAACCCCTCTTTTGTGATCAATCAACAATCTCTAGTGTGTTATATACCTCGATCTGATCTCCATAACACTATTTTGTCTCCGTAATGTACCTAAGGCAAGTAGGCAACACACATATTATAATAGTAGAAAGAAATGCATAGAAAGAAATGAAAAACGAGTAGATAACTAAAAACAATTACTGAAAACTGTGAAAAACTCTAAAACAAAACTTTATGCATGTAATTTTTATTACTTTTAATGAAGATATCACCCTGAAAAGCAATCTCCTGATAATAAATCATAAAATTCCAAATACGAAGTAAAAATAGAAAAAATGCTGAATCAGATCAACAAAAGTATCAGATCCATAATCTAGAGATGAGTAAAGAACAGGACTTGCTTAGGAACAAAGTTGACTCTCTTTCAAAAATTACATAAGTTAATGCCAAAGGAACATAAAAATATAATAATGAAACAAAGCCTCTTGCAGAAAAGAAGTATCTATACAATTCAAAACTGTAGATGAAATTGTAATTGCTGCAGTAATCATAGCAATAATGGTGTACCATTTTCTTGTGATCACAGAATATTTGGCACACTTCTCAACAAGTGAAACCAGATCTTAGTTTCTTATACTCAAAATATACTTCCAGATCACAAGAAAATCTTGCTCAATTCCAGATCGCAAGATAATATTGATCAAAGTGAAAGTGAAAACTTCTCTTGAAAACAAAAAATGTACTTTCATTTATACAAAAACAGGCTTAAGTCATATTTAACCTGGGTGACCAGGGTTCAAAAATCTTGGAAACAGTCTCTGTGTCTGTCAGAGTAAGGCTGCAAACATCTGTCCCTCTGAAGACCCCACATTGGGGGGGAGCCTCGTGCACTGGGCTGCCCTTTTGGTCACTCCCGCTTTGACCTAGTAAAGCTTGGCCTTCAATTGTGTAATTTCCCCACCATTTCCAATCCATCCTTTACTATTTGATAAATTCATCATAGGTTTCATGTATTCCTGAATTTCATATTGCTCTGAAATTTCTCATCAGTCTGGAGAGTCTAAATGAGACAGATTTAAGTCCCCTACAACAATTGTCCAGATTCTGGAGTTCCGAGAATATAATCAAGCTTATCTCCTTGTGCTGAGGAGCTTTGGGAGGGAAGCCTTACATTGGTGTTTTCAATATTTGGGTCAGCATGCTAGTGGTACCTTCCAGGTTCCTTCTCTGTGCATATCTTTTTCAATTTCTCATGCACAGCAATTCAATGAGGTGGACAAGGGTCTTGCATGAAGGGAGTTTTAGGCTTCACAAACATGGATGAATTGGAGCAGAAATGGATATGGTTATTGGGTTCTTAAATAGATAGTGACATCAATATTTTTTGAGTTCATTGGTAAATGGTAACAAGTAACTCATAAACTTTTTGTGTAGTTACCTGCTGTCCACCTCACATTAAAGGTTATACCTATGATGCTGAATTCAAAAATTTAGCCTTCTGCTCAAAAATTCATAAATTTCTTATGCCTTGGATCTGATGCTGAATGTTTACGTTATGAAGGTTATACCTCTGATGCTTAGAGCTAAAAAATTTAGCCTATCTGAGGCGTTTTCCTTAACCTAACTTCAGAGCTAGCATAAAAATTAAAAAAAAAAAGGCCCCATTTACTTTCAAAGCAATTCAAGTCAACTCAAGAAATTCTTATCCCAACTACAGGTGCCCTCTAGAACACCGGTTGTATAACGCATCATCATCATCTAACTCGACTTAATTGAGACATCTCAAATCAACACTACCAAATCAGTGTTGAAAAATGAAAAAGAACTTGAGATGGACCTAAAGCGAATTTAGATTGATACAAGAAAGGATGTTCGTCTCTTGGGGCAGAAAAGGGTTGCAAAAACAGATGTATGGGTCATGAATTCTTTTTTTTTTTTCTTCTTTTTAGGTGAGAAAAGAAGAAATTCATTGAAAGAAAAACCAAAGAGAACATAAACCAGAAGCAACAAAAATAAAAGACACAACTTAAGGATGTGCTCCCCCCAAGCCAGGAGAAAACACCCAAAACACCTACAAACTAACAGACGACTCAGATAAACCAGAACTACCTATAGCAGAAACAGACATATCACTAGTTAAGAAGGGTGCCAACCAATGCGGCACTGCATCTTTAAAACAAAAAGAGGATTTTAGACCACCTGCAGCAACCAAGTGGGCCAAGAGTTCACTACTTGCAGGGTCCAAAGGAGGGTTTCCTGGGGGCAGGTCCCTTGTAGTTAATTCAAAATAGTATATAAGAAGAAACGGGTGAAACTGAAAAAAAAAATGTAGAAAGGCAGTGAGGAGAGTACTTTTGTCGATTTAGTTCAGAGTAAGATTAAGAAGAGTAAGGTGGAAACGAGTTCTGTTTCGCAAGATGAAGGTTTGAGTATGGATGTGGAATAAGAGGAGAAAGAGAGCGAAGTTGGGGAGAAGGATGATAAGAGCCAAGAAGAAGATGACAGGGTGAATTTTGATAGGAGTGAAGGAGGTAGAGAAGAATGATGATTTGGAACAAAATTGTTAAAACAGATATTCAAGTATATTGTTAGGGCTGCGTTTTCTGGGAGGGGAGGAAGTTCCAAGGAAATTGTTCAGGGAACTGGAAAAGGAATATCCTTTGCTTACTGCTTAATTACCGAAGAAGTTCATATTTATCTGTTTCTGCATAGGGGAACTTCGTTTTCTGGGAGTTGGGTGTGAATAAATGAGGAGTAGTCACGGGAGGCTTGTGGGGAGACTTTTTTTTTCGAAAATTCTGGGCAAGGGCTCAATTTTGTACTTTGAAAGTTGTTTTGGTGGGTGGTGGGCTTGTTCTTTTTTTTTTTTTTTTCTTTTGGGTGATATTTTATCACCTCTATTTGTACTCCTTTCTCTTTTCTATGAGTAAATTTCATTTTTATTTATTACTAAACAAAAGCCTTCTTCCAACTATATTGTTAGCTGTTACAGAATGGTGAATATCTCTGGAATATATAAATATGTAGATTTTTCTATTTATGAAAAGAAAAGAGCCAGAAAGAGCTCAGGTGGCTACAGGAGAGCTGTCGAGTTGATGTCCATGAATAATTCGCTTAGATTTAAGAAAATAAAAAGCATCGTCACCTTTTGTCTCCTTTGGTGGAAGGATTGAAAATGAACCAAGTAAACCGGACATTCTCTCCAGTGTTGCATCTGAGATGGACCTCTTCAAGGACTACAAGAAAAGGGCATTACAAGTAAATAAGGAAATGCTCCAGTTGAAATTTTGGTTAGTTACTCTCTCCTATATGAGAACACATGACCAATTGCACGTGTGATACAGGAAAGGAGTAAAAGGGATTTGACATCCATGCATAGATTCTGGTATATGCCACTATGAGATTTCAATATATTATGGCTAGAGAGGATTTGCAGGATGAATATCCATCAACTGTCCAAGAGGTAACATGCTCAGGTTGAATTAGAGAAGTCTTACAGATCCTTTGCTCCCACTGCCATATTTGTTCTGTATCTGTAGCAGGACAAGTATTGCAAGCATTAGGTCTCATTGGTAGAACAACATGAGAATGATAATTAATAACTGAGCCCAAATCCAATCCTTATAAACTAAACAATTACTTCACTAAGCCAAATAGCCACCAATAAGTTAATAATCTGGCCCTCCAAAAGAAAGAGGAATACGAATAGAGAAAAGGAAGAAGAAAAGTGAAAATTGAAAAGAAAATTGCAATTATGCTTACACACCTTTAGTGAGAAGTCAGTAGCATCTAACAAGAGCAACTTGGCTTCGAAGTAATGCGCTAAAGCCTTGGCAAGCATTTGGTGGTACATCTCTTCAAAAAAATGGAAATTTACAATTAAGTTTTGGCACAGATTCGTGTGAAGTACTGTAAACCTAAATATGGGTACTTGCAAGAAAACCTACCAGCAGGTCCAGAGAGCAAAATGGTCCGACTTGCAGGAGAGAGATTTCTGGTGTACTTAGACAAATCGGTTTGTTTCAGATGAACGTAGGCAGCACTTGTCAATAACACCCGTGTCTGCTCACTGCCATTCAGACCAATAAGACAAAGATGTCAAAATAGAAATAAACTGAACAGAGAAAATACTTCACAAGGTATAACACGTTGTGGATGCATTGATAAAAGTGAAAGAATTTATGGTCAGTACTTCTTATCTACTGCAGTGAACAGAGTAAAAATTTCACTTAATTCAGATGTTTAAACCAGAATGTTTAAACAATAAACTATTGTTTTCTTTTATTGGAAATATTAGTGGCTGAAGTGAATGACATTGTTTTCTTTTATTGGAAAAATATTTAAACAATAAACTATTCAAGGGTATAGTTATCAACCCAATTCAAGCTTCAGCGATCAAGGAGCTCAAAATCTCCTAAAAGACTTGTATGCTAACAGACAAAATGATAAATCATCTAGTTCAGCGCTAAAAGACAAAAGTGTTAAAATCATCCACTTCAGCCTTTTGCAGCTTTCATTAAATGGCCCCTATTCAGCAAGTTAATGCTTCTATTAACCTCACACCTGGGATCTAAATTAAGGTTCTGGTAATTGGGTTGCCCAGGTTTGTCTGAAGATCTTGTTGACTCAACCAAATTGAGTGGGAATCCAAGCCATTCACATCATTTTGTTTGGCAGATTTTTTCTTAATTATTTACATACTACACATAACAGGGGATTCAGGGGTGGAGACAGAGCAGGGTGCACATGAGGCCCACAGGCCGAACCATCTTGATATTGTCCAATGTTTTCCCCCTGAGAGTTTGCATATTATTTAATACTCCAGTACCCATAAGCTCAAATAGGACCGCAAATGGGTCAGATTTAACCCAATTCAAATTCTAATATAATCCATTTAAGTTGGATTTAGATATCCGCTCTAGTACCTACAAGCTCATATAGGACTGCAAATGGATCAGATTTAACCCGATTCAAATGCTAATATAATTCATTTAAATTGGATTTGGATATCTGTTTAGTCATAGTCAGATCAAATTAGATCTAAAAATATGTTCTGTTTATTAATCAGACTCAGATATTGCTTGATCCAATCTCCTAGGGTCCAATCCAATCTGATTACATAAACATATAAAATATTATTTTTAGTATTAAAATTCTTCAGAATTAAGTTGGATATGGGATTTGTTAGATGAACTTTTTTCCACTTATGGTATTTTTGTTTGTTGAAGTGGATAGAAAATGAGAAGGCTCGCTTAGTCAAGGTTTACTAGTTAACAATTTGGTTAGATTGTTCAGTCTGTGAGAATCATCAAATAACTGGGACCTAGAAAGCTCACCAGTTCAACCATCTAATCCGGTTCAATCTGATAATACTCCTCAAAATGAATATGTATACATGAAGTGAATAAATATAGGAGATGGAAATGTATAATGCACTTATTATATTGGCAAACAATGGTCAACATGGAAAGCCCAAGAGCCCTGCAACCTAAAAGCCGAACTAGAAGACTACTAAATGAATAAGTCATTTAATGGATACCTCTTTTCTTGTTCTAGATCATATGTGCTAAAATCCACCACAGTTAACCATGTACAATATTAACATCTAGGTTCTCTTTAAAAATCTTTTACATGCTAGAAAATCTAATCTATATCTGTATCTGTACTACTATTAAAAGTACAAATGAAGGTGTAAATTTTTTTTCTTGACTAAAATATCCCTATTTATGAATTCAGCCCCCTTTACAGATATTGACTAAATCTAATCTATATCTGTATCCCGTATTTTAAACCAAACCCGAAAATGAAACATTCTTCCATCTAGGTGATAGGTAAGTAATTCAACCATATTGGTCAAATGGATTACTCCATGATGTCATATTTAAATACCAATTTTTTAAATATAAATAAATACTAAAAGATACAAAAATAATCTATATATATAGAAAAAAATTGGAAACATCTCTGATATTTTATATTAATCATATTAAAGAAAAACAAGTGCAATAAACAAGAATTTTTTGATGATGGAAATAAAACACAAAATTTAAAACCAACCAAAATGAAATGTTTTCCTGTTTGGTGGTGGTCAATGGTTCAATCATCAAGTCAAATTTATCAACCTTTGCTGCATAATAAAAATTAAAAAAAAAGATAAAAACACAAAAAAAAATGAAAAGATATACAAATTTTGCAAAAAAATGAGGAAATCTATAATATTATATATTCATCAAAATAAAGTGATAAATAGGAATTAATTTTATACACATAGCAATGCAAAAATTGCTGAAAATTGAACATATTTATTATATACACACTACTATTAGATTAAATAAGTGTGATAAATAAATATTAATTTTATATACATATACATATACATATACATAGAAATATAAAAATATAAAAAAAAATTGAATATATATTATTACTATCATCATCTAAAATTGACGCATGCACTTTTTATATACATATTATTACTACTATCATCTAATTAAATGAAGATGATAAGAATGAAGCGTAGACGGTTTTGTAAGTACTAAGTAGTAACCCTTGAAACCAATGGTACATGCATGTTTGCTCATTCTAGCCCACGGCCTAAACATCATGATTTCAATCAAAATATCAAATATGGAAAATCATGAATGGGCAAATCCTATAGAAGATAATTTTTAATAATCTAGAAGGCATGAAACACAATAGATCGTCGGTTGATTCAGTTCCACATAAGGATCTGATTTCCAATTATCTAATCAGATTAAATGAGACGTACTAAATTAGAAATGTGAAGATAATTAAGTTCAGCAATGACTAACACTCCAGCAAGCCGGCACATGAAAGCCAACGAGAGAATACGTGACTGAGCAGAACCATTTAGTATCTCTTCACCGTAATATTAGATAGACACACAGGAAAACTTCAGGCCTTCAAAAGAACGAATCATGCTCTTACATTGCCATGCTTGGTTTTAAGAGAAAAAGGTAGAGAAATCTATACAAGCTTTATAAAGGTTTTCCTCCCTTTCCTTTCTTTTCCCTACTTTTTCCTTCAAACCAAACATAACATTAAAATTAAAATAATGGTAGAAAAGAATCAAATGGGCAGCATACAGTATAAACTATCATCAAATAGAAAACCATACTCGCTTTGCCGAGGCATCGTGATTATATACATGAAAACAATTTATTAATGAAAACCCAGAGCAGGATTGCGCAGGATAAAGACTGTGCTTCCCTTACCTAAGGTAATATGGAAACTCATCAAAGGTGATGTTGCTTTCTTTGCCGTCGATAACCTGTTTCTGGAGCTCATTCTCGATCTGTTCTCCAGTAATGGCATTGGGTGAATTGGGATTCGTCCATTTACTTACTGCCGGTCTAGAGGCCAAACCAAGCCCCACACCAACACCGACACCGACGCTCAAGGCCGACATGATAATGTGCTTCTGCTCCATTGCGTTTGAATTCCCGAAACACTATATCTCTTCGTTCAAACTGCACTTCCCCTGTCCTACCTTGAAATACAAAGAATCAGACTAATTTCGAAACCGAAATGAATCTCTCCTTTTCTCGAGCAGGCATATATTTAACATAAAGAACCCGACCGATTTCGAAACTGAAAGGAACCCCACCGTTTCTCGACCAGAGACTATGAATCAGGGTTTGTGTTTAAATTCCTTTTGAGTACTCTGCACCAACCAAGAAACAAAGGTCCTGTAGGTTTATATAACAAAAGAAGCAGGAAAATACCTGATTGGACTGAAAAAACAACGGATTCAAAAATCTAACGGATAAAGAAATTTATGAAAAAAAAAAAATTGTTTACAGTGCAAGTAAACATACAGAAGTTCATAATTTTTAGAACCGATAAACAAAATAAAAACAGAGATGATCGGCCAAAATGGATAGAAAAATCAATCTCTCTACAAGTACTTAAATGATAAACCAAATTCAGGGACTTGAGTAGGCGATTAGAACAGAGGAACAAACATGATGTAGTTTGAACTCATCAGAATATCCGAAACATTTCCGAATCATAGAAAAACGAATGAGAACGTTTAACGTCTAAACTTTCTAACAGTGGAAAAACGATCGGTCAGGTTATTGTCTCACTCCTTTTATTCCAGACAGGGAGAAAAACGAACCAGAACGATCAGTTCTCTTAGTTCCGACAACAATACCTAAACCTGCAATCGGTGTGACATACGTCGACCGCCTGTCTCTCTGTCTCTCTCTCTCTCTGCGTTTTACTTTCTCTGTCGTTAATATATTCGGTTAGTCTTGTTTTCCTCAGAGAACGCTCTCCCACCTATTTATAACCACCGAAACTAAAGGATCTCGAACCCAAAAAAGAAGCCGGAAAAGGAGCAGTTGCCAAAGCTTTTTTTATTTGCTTTTGACTTTCCGGCCACCGGGAACACATTTCCGGTAAAAGGAGGGCCGTTATATGGCCGGAGAGAGGCTCCTTCTTGAGTCGGTTCCCGCCTTTCCAGGCTCCCCCCTCGGTTTTTGAGTTTTCTATGGTTCGGTGGGCATTTAACGGGTTCCTACGTGTCACAACTTTGACGGTGGAATTTGACGTTCATTGACGCTCTCATTTTCATTTTCTACCTTTTTTAAACTGTGCTTATATTGGAAGGAGTCCGGATCTCCTGCGAACAAAATACGTTCCAGTTCTTACAATTTTCTTCGGAAGGAATGGTATCAGTGACAAATACCTCTGAATTTTGTAATAAAGATCCTTTTTCATTAGATTTCCATCAGCTAATTTTGGAAAAGATTTTCATTCAGCTGTTTACAATTTCTTAAATCCTCCATTTATCATTTTCTTATTTTTTAATGATTATAATTTAATAAGCCCTCTAGGTTGCTTTAATAGATCGTTGTAGATTTTTGTTTAGACTTAATATTCAAATCAGATGACAGGGATAAATTATTAGAGAGAAGAGTGGATAATTTTTTTTTAATTTAATATGAAGATATAAATTAAAGTTAGTGAAATGAAATAATAACTAAAAAGAAAACTTTATTGTTTCTTAGCTATGGGGATAATCCATCCCCCAACCCAGGTGTAGGCGGGAGATCGGACCTTACCAACCAGCCGGTTGGCACCTCTTTTTTGTCAATGAATTGAATGTATTTTAGTTGGTTTAGTTTGGAGAAAATGGATGTAGTTTTGAGTTAATTAAAGTTTAGGAGAAAAGTGCAAGAAAAAAAATAGGGAAAATTTTCGATGGTATCATGTATTTTGGCTTGAGTGATAATTTGGTCTCCTAACTTTAAAATAAGACAATTCAGTATCCAAACTTTTGAAATGTCAAGAATTTGGGCTCTTTTGCAAGGGTTTTGGTGTCTGTGACAGAGCTTAGGCTCTATTTCATCTTCTTGAGGAAGAAGATGATGAACAGTATGTTTTATTTTTAAGGGTAGTTTTGATATTTTCAAAAGTCTCAAATTACACACGAGGTCACATGATATATATAACTAACGGTTCATTAATGACAGGTACTAGATTGTTGCGTTTTAAAGATTAGGATATTGGATTGTTGCATTTTAAAGTTTGAGGACCAAATTATTACTCGAATCAAAGTACATGGTACTGATGAAGAATTTTTTCAAAAATAATAAAAAGTTTACCGGATTTTCTGATAATTTGGCGCACTGTATCATCGGATTTAATGGTTAGGGGGTATTTAGTGCAAACTGCAAAGCAAAAGCTCAAGAGGGTTTGTTATAAATAAAAATTAAGGGGTATTTATCACTGACCTCTTTGTATAAGAGTCTTTGTAATTTGCTCCTTTTTTTTTCTTGTTTTTTTTTCTGGGGATTTTAGAGAAGAAATTCAAACACTTCTAATCTTCTCTTTCGAGATGTTAGGTGAGTTGATATGGACTCCCGATACAGGGCACCCCATATGCACATCCAACCGTGCATTGGGAATATATCCCCAACCCCATGACAAAGTACAGGAGGTATTTCTAATGTACGGTTGGATGTGCATGTCTGACATGCTTTGTGGGGAGTCCATGTGAATTTATTGGAGGGATTAAATTGTCGAATTTGATTTTTTAAAACCGAAAAGTCTCCTTTATTAAAGATTAATTCATCAAAAATCAATTGAGACTTTTTTTTTCCCTCCAAGGGCTACACAATAGGGGTAGCCCATCCCCCAAACTCATAAAACCTCCAACTTAAGTGCAGGCGAGATTTGATTCCAAGTCTTCGTTACTACTAGTAGGAGACATTACCAACCAACCACTTGGCACCTTACAAAATAACAGAAGTTAATCAGGATTTTTGTCATTCATATAATTTGGGAAGATTTTGAAGATGGATTAATTAGAATCATGGAATAATTTTCAAATTGATTATTTGACATGCTAGTAACATGTTTATTTATATCTATCTTCTATATAAAATGTTTGTATTCAATTTTTGTGTATTATAAAAGTGTCATCACATCATATAACATTTGGCTACATTTGTTTTCGGTGTAAATGCACTTTTATACCAATGGAGTTGAGACACAATGGTTCGGTGAGAGTGTAAAATATGGACCGGCCATTATGCCCATTTACACTCGTTTTGTTTGGTTACATCAATTTAAATGGAGGTTACCTTGTTTTCTAGTTTGTTACAATGGGAGATTATCAGAGAAAGAGAGAAGGGCGGAAGGGAGTCAATGGGACAACCTTATCCGTTTACACCTTTTACAAAAGTAGAGCAAATTAGCAAAACCAAGAGCATAGAGAAAAGGGAGAAATTCTCAAAGGCTCATAAGAGAGAAGGGGCAAAAGACAGAGCGATCATATTTAGCTCTTGAACAATTTTCACTATGGCAGCTAGGAAGAACTACCTTGCCAGACCCAGTTATTGATTTATCGGTAGGGATAAAGATAAAATGATTAGTTCTGATACCATGTTCGAATTTGACAAATCCGACTTGTGGAATTTGAATCATGCTACCTTGCCTGAGTTGAAGAAACCGATGACCAATGTGCGTGTAGCGAAGAAATTTGGGAAAAGGGTCGAGAATGCTCATTGGGGTGGTGGAGCAATTGCAACTTCAACATCGTTGTCGGTTAACATACCCGACTGGTCGAATATCCTCAAGGAGGATTATAAGGACGCTCGGAGAAGAGAGAATGACAACAACTTTGACAACGAGGACGAGGATTCTAAAGACAGTAGATGGAGAAGAACGAGCAAGAGGTTAACGAGAGAGAGAGAGAGAGAGAGAGATGTATTTATTACATCGATAATTTCAATGTATTTATTACATCGACTATCGATGTAATTAAACTGCAAAATGTAATTTTACATGTTTACCAAATGCCTACAAAATCGAACTGGGGTGTAAAGTTTACCCCGGTTCAATTTTACACCTGTACCAAACACAGCCTTTAAGAAATTTGATAAAAAAACAACATAAAAAATTTAAATTTTGTATTTTCATCTTGTTTACCTTTTTTAGCTTTATTATGTTATACATGTGCACACCACTACCTTACACTAATACCATATAAACTAATATCATATTTGGCATATATAATGCATATACTTGTTTATGAAGATCGCAAGAAATCAAAGGTTTCGAGGTGAAATCTCAGTTTCTATGCAGATCATAAAAATTAAATAAAGGTAGTATGTAAACGGAACCATCCATTCATTCATCCATATAAATTGATGCATAAAAGGTTTCGAGGTGAAATATCACAAGACATTGTTATATAAGTACAAGGTTAATACTTGTATCTTTATACTTTTTATCTATAATACATGCATTTACGGTTTGCACTAGGTTAATATTTGTATCTTTATACATGTTATTTTACATTATATTATATATTTTATATATAAATATTATAACATGAAATGTATAATTTATATTATATGTAATATTTTATATTATATAATATAAAATAAAAATTTATATGCATGTTATGTCATTTAATATAAAATATTATATATGTTTTATATATGAAAGGCATTGGCCTAGAATCAGAACCAGCCCGGCCCGAGCCCGTGTAAACCTGGGCTAGGGCTTATGTTATAGGCCCAAAACCCCGAGCCGGGTCGGGCCCGGGCCTAAGCTTTAACCCTTATCATAAGTGCAAAGCCCTTCCGGGGCTCGACCCATGATCACCCCCAGTTTGTACTAATGCCAATTAATGTGCAAATTAAGGATTTCCCAAACTCTTCAAAATCATTATTCTACTAATACCATTCTTTTTAGATAAATTGCAAATTATCATCATTATTTTTATCAAATATATCCTCGAGAAATCAATGATTCCCAATCCCTTCAAACACACACACACACTACTTCCTCAATTTTCCCCTCTTCATTCTCAATTTTATCTCATAGGGTTGCAAATAAATAGGATAGAATTCAAATGGGGATGTGTCCCAATCAAATTTGATATAAATAAGAGATATCTAAATTACATTTGATATCTAACATGTATAATTCATGATGACGGTGATGATTGATGGAGATTAAAAGACACGATCCTTGCTGGTAGTGATGATCTGGAGCTCGGATGCAAACTTTGATGGCAGATTGCAAGAAAATAATGTTTAGAGGGCCCAGGTGGATATCTTGGGCAAGGAATCGATGCTTAAGTCAGTAATTTTCAAGCTCTCCAAGGTGGTGAAAAAATATGTGAGTAGGAATCAGAGAGTATGTGTGTGTAAGTGTACTTTCTCACGGTGAAGGTTTACCCTTATATAGACCTTGAGGCTTTGCTGCAACGTATCTGACACGTTCGGACAATTGATGGCTACACGTTCGCTGTTCTTGGGACACACCCATACAACATTGTGGGTGTCTTTATCCACTTCCTTGCAAAGCGATGATGAATGGGCTTATCATTGCCAAGTGGGCTTCATGCTCGTGTACATTTCAGGTCAATTGTTCTATATGGACGAAAAAAAAGAAGAGAACTTGCCACATAGGTTAGAGGCATTCCGAGGCTAGAGAAGTCCCTTGGGGTCTGTTTGATTGCTGAGAAAGGGATGAGAAAAGGGAATATTCCCGAATGATTCTCTCTTTCTTGTGTTTGTTTACTAGTAAACAGTGTTTTGGGATGAGAAACTAGAGCGACGCGGGATCCCAAAATTTAGTGAGCGGGATCGCACCATTTTGGTGCGACCCCGGTGAGAAAAGAAAAGGCTAAGAAAATCTATCGAGTTTGTCAGAGCAAGAAGTTGACAAGCTCGTCTCCCCTTCGAAGCTGTTGTTCCAACGGCCATATCTCCGGTAGCTTCTCCGGCCATATCTGTGGAAGGTAGATCCATGAATCCCTCTCTCTAGCGGTCCTGTTCTACCATTTTTTTGTTGTTTTTCGTTCCATATTTGTGGAAGGTAAGAGAAGCAATTGATACTGAGGATGATGTAGGAATTGATGATTTAAATGATGATAGAGCAGACAAAACACAAATCTCCCAACTATCTCAACGACCTAGTAGAAATGAACAATCAAGGGAAGGAACCCGTCTCAAAGAAGAAATAGCTAC